GAAAGCATATAGTGGGGGCCTAATGCTGGGAAGGGGGAGAATTGGGGTGATAATAAAGAGTATGGGGTTTCTTTTTGGAGTGATGAAAATGACATAAAATTGATTGTGGTGATGATTGCACAACTGTGTGAAAATGCCATTGAATTATACACTTTAAATGGGTAAATTTTATGGGATGTGAATTACATCTCAATAAAACTGTTCCACAAAAGAAAAAAGAAGACAGTTCTTCATCATGACCTAGGAGGCCAGGATGGGATTTAAAAATGGCATACTCTATAACACTGAAACATGCCAGCTGAGTAACTCCATTAAAGAGAGACGCAAATGAGTTAAGGGTTGTGATTTATTTCTGATGTGGGTCAGATTTGCCTACAGTAGTATTTTCTAAAGCATAGTAAGCATTCCCTGATGGCACACATGATGATATTAAGGAGTACCCATATTTTAATTAACATGAAATTATTTAATTGATACTGGTATTCTATTTGTGATGGTGATATAAAACTTTCTCTCTTGAAGTATATTAGAGTTAAAAATAAATTAATGTAAGGAAAATATACAAATAATGGTACAGTTGGTATGAGGAAATGGTAAAAATCATGAAGATGGCTCATGAATAATTGACTTTTCAGAACTCTAGTCCAGAGAAAACTTCTTCTCCCCAAATTCACATTATTCTCTAAACCTCTCCAACAATGGTAAACTTTGGTTACCCAAAGGGGGATTAAGTGTGTGTGGGTAGATGGCTCACCTATTCTAAAATCAGGAGGCACGTGGCTTAAAATCACAACTCAAAAGTGGCTCACTTCTGTGTGAAAGACCACAACTCATATTTGATTCAGTGATATACTGAAAAGGATAATGGCTGCTGAGCTCAAGGTATTTGGATTTGAATATTTGCTGTGTGACTTGTGAAACTTTGGGCGCGTCACAATATCTTGTAGTCTGTTTTATTTATGAAATGGAAACACCAGGACTTATTTCTATAGCGTGGTTGCGAGGATTACCTCAAACAATGTAAGTGACATATCTTACCTTAAATAGAGTAGATGATTAATGACTAGTTTCCTTCCTTTTGTTGTAGGTTATACAATCACATTCCATGGAGCAGAGTGGAAAGTTAATTGGCTGTGTCATTCTGTCAAGAAGACACACGTTAAGGCTCTTGTAGGGCTGAAGGATGAGGACCTCTGGTCTTTTCAAGTCAAGTGCCGTTATTGGTCAGTCACACTCAAAGGGCAATTAGTACATTCTCTGGATGAAATTCACCTCCTTTCAAAAGACTTCTCTGTCTAACTCTGCCATTCTGATTACTCCTTAGACCCCTTGGTTATTATGCAGAATTTTTGCTTTTTATTGTGTCTGGTGACTGCATCTTCTCTGCATAAAGACTGGAAGATCGTCCAGGGAATTTCTTTGTGGTCCCGGATACTTCCTGCTAGACTAGGAAGTTGATCCCCAGAAGCCCGGCAATTTGGTACATTTGTAGATAGAGTAGAAATGACTTCCCCTTAAGTACCATTGGACCATTCCTATGAAATACATAATTGGTTCTTTATTCAGTATGCAGTGTGAGCTGCTGGGCAGAGCATGGTCTTTGCAGTTTTACGTGCTCGTGTGTACCTGCTAGCTCTAACTTCTATTAGCTTTATGACCACTAGGGTCATTTGCCTCTCTTAGTCTCAAAGTTCTCTTCAATGAAAATAGAAAATAAAGAAAGAAAGAAGGAGGGACAGAGGAAGAAAAGAAGAAAAGAGAGGAGGGAAGAAAGGGACGGTAGTAGGAAAGAAGGAAGGAAAGAATTATATCTTTTTCACCAAAATGTGAGGGTAAATCAAAATAGGGTAATTTGGGGTTTTGCTCCCTTTTTTCCTTCCTCCTCCCTTTTTTGACTGGATTTTGGAGTTAAAAACATTTGTTAAATGACTAATCTATATGGATATGGCGGGTGAAGATTACAAAAGCCTAAGGGTATAGTTTTTGTCCTTAAGAACAACTACAATTTAGATGAGACAAAAACATGTTTAACATAAATTGGATTGTGGAGCAATGGTCAGGAACTGTACATAAAAGCTAATAAAAATCTTTATAACTGTCACTGGGAAGCTTCCACTGAGTCTCCTTTCTCCTATATCATCTCATTACAGTGACATTTCAGTCAATATATTTTTGACTTGATGAATGAGTGGTTTTGTCCGCAGGCAGTAAACACTGTTTCACTAGAGAACTTGTCATACTTAGAGAAACGCTAAGATGCAGGCTATATTATTAGAGTCACTTTATAGATGAGGGCATTAAGTCTCACTGAAGTAAATTAACACGCCCAAAGTCACATAACTAGGGAAGGAGCCCGCGGACTCAGTTCTGTCCAACGCTAGAGCCCTTACTCCTCATCACCATGCATTACAGCCTCTCCAAGTCTTGAAGAAAGTGATGAAAGCAGACTGTTTGGCAGAGAGCGTGTGTGAAGGGCATTCTACTGGATTCCAGAAGGGACAAGATCAAAGCCTTAGCAGGTTCTGAAGGGACAGACATTAGACAGCTGGGCACGTTTGGAGCAGAGGGATGGGCTAACTCCTGGTAGCTATTGGAGCACTTCAGGAATGTCACTGACTCCAGGTTTCAATGAGCAAAGCACGCATTAGCCTGGGTGCTTCGTTCTGAAATACTCAACTTTGCTTTGCTTCATAGGTTGGGCAGAACAGAATGACTCTGCCATCAAGTTCCTTTTCCTATCCTTACTAAAAGCTCTGCAATGACAGCAGTCTGGGTTCGTATTTCTGCCCACACACACATGGAGACCAACCCTTTCCATTTGCCTGTGGAAAAAGCCATCAGGATGTGAGGTAAGGACAATGCTAATAGATTTTTTCTTTTGAATGTTGAAGGGATGGATCTCAGTTTCTGTGAAATCATCCATTATTTCTTTAGAGTGATTCTCAGCATAATGCAGAGAATGCATGATTTTTACTGCTTTTTAAACTTTTGCAAGATGGATACTGTTTAAAAAAAATATTGTGATAAAGCTGCACACAGGGAAGGGTGATGTGTGGGATCTGCGTGGTGAGTGTTGGGGGCATGTGGGGTTCTTTCCTAAATTGAAAGCTGGCCGAGCAAAGTGATCCATTGGGCAAAGTTTGTCACTGGGGCATCTCTTTCTGTCCCACCTCTTGGAATCCTATTCCTTCATGAAATAGCTCAAGTGGCTTACTCCATTGGGTTGAATCTGTACAGCAAACACTGTCCCTGACTCCAATTCCCAGAGTCAGAGGTTCAATTTTGTAGGGACAAGAGTAGTAAAAAAAAAAGTCCATTGTTCTAATCATGAGTGGAGCAAGCATATCTCAGGCTTTGCCACTTATTAGATGCAGGGACCAACAGCAGAAGGGCCACCTGGGAATCTGTAAAAAATGCAGTCGTTTGGGCTCCACCTCAGACTGACTGAATCAGAATCAGCATTTTAACAAGATTCTCAGGTGATCAGGTCTGGAGAAACTGCCCTGGAGACCCATTGCCTTACATGTGAGAGAAAATTCGGGTCGGAATTTCCTAGGCATCACGTCTCAGCATAGTCTACCAATTCTGTTTGACCTTAACGTGCGCTAGAGTCTGAGGTCGAAGTGCTCAGGCTCGTTTGGGAATCTCTGGGTTAAATTAAGCAGGCAATGATAATGATGGAAATAGCACATTACTACTACTGCTACCAGCTGCCATGTTTGAAGACTTATATTAAGATACACTTGAGAAATGTTCTCATTTATTTTTCACCACGATTCTATGAGGAAAGTACAATAAGTGTCTCTATTTCATGTGTGGAGAAACTAAGCTTCAAGAAGGTAAGGTCACATAGCTAGTGAAGTAGAGCCTAGGCTGAAAAGATCTGGCTCCAGAACCTAAAACAGTTTTTTGCCTCTGCCGAAGTTCTAAGAACCTTTAGAATTCTGATCTGCTTTATGATTCTGCAAACCAGAAATATGATAGTTAAGGTTTCCCAAATGAATTTGGCTTAGAATCCCATTTGAATGGATGGCACAACTCTCTGCAACAGACTCCACAGAACATCTGGGAGCCGCCTCCTTTTGTCATAGCTTCGCAAATGGTGATGGACGTAAGTTAACATGGCAGGGCAGATCAGTGGGCACTTTATGTGTAAGTTCAGGGCACTGAAAAGCCTAGAATTCTCTGACAAGCCTGTGAAGAGTATGGAGCTCTCACTATCAAAATCACTGATTTTGTTTAAGCACTGAAAAACATTTTATTTAAAGTCTTGATTTTCAACACTTTCTCAGGTCTCCAATAAGCAGCAGACCCTAGATTTTCTTTCTGAACATAGTGATGAGCCAAGTGGGTTTGTCTCAAGCTTACATTTTATTTCAAATCTCATCATTTAAGCTTGAAAATTGGCATGCCTTTTGCTTTCTGCCCTGGGCTGGACATTGTCTGTTTGCTCCTCCAGATTCAGTTGCTACCCTCCTCCTCCTTGCTCGGGGCCCCCGTAGCCATGCTCTACGGATGGCATTCATAGGTCACCCTTGCCCTCTGGCTTATAGTTGGATTTGGCCAACGGGTAATGATGTGTCAGAGTGCAGAGGGATGGAGAGGTCGGGTTACTTATTGACGCGGCTCTCTGCCTGCTGGGCTCCTACTCCAGTGCATCCCTTTACTAAATGTCACAGCTCCAGCTGGGTGGTTCTTACAGCTGCAGATTAGCCCAGGCTCCATCAGGTCCAGGGGTGGGAATGGACCCCTGCTTTTAGGATGAGTCACTCCCCCTTGTTGGTTTCCCTTCATTCTGCCCACATATCTGTAAGTAGTCCTTTGTGAAACTCTACCCAGCTTCATCACTTAATCATGCCATTTGTTTCCTGCCTGGATCTTGACTGACGTATAAATCAAAACATAATCAGGTATATTAAAATTAAAATGTTTTAAAAATTATTTTCTTGTTACATTGCTTTATTACTTTCTCATATATTCCTATTTCCTGAATCTTCAGATAAAATCAGTGTTCCAGAAAATGTGCCACGTTCCTCCGCTGGCTTCTTTCAGGTATTTCCAAGGGTATAATGAATACACCAGATGGAGGATGCTGTGAAACTAATATGAATATTCCCACCTGAGAGAAACGAATAGAGCAAAAAGCAAAGGCCCGAGGTGCTAATTTTTTCTAATCAGAGAAACAGAAGAGCACAATGTGGGTCCTGCCTCAGAGGAAAACCCTTGTGAATCACTGCAATAGAGTGTCCCAGGGGATTAGGGACAGGGTGGAGACAGTGGGTCCTGGGGAACGGGGTAGGGGGGATGCTATCAAAAAGACTACTATGGGGAAACCAAATAAAAGGAAACAAAATTCCTTCCCCGGAGAGTTCTTGTGGCCTCAAGCAAGAGTGAAAATGTGGGAAAGTAAGGCGCAAGGTGTAGTCAGATTTGTGAGAGATGTCAACGCTAGAGCATCTCTGAATCCAGATGGTGGCTGTCAGAATGTGAACACCCTTCCGGAAACAAGCCACATCTGGCTCAGGTCAGATATGCCGATGGTGCCAGGATTTGAAAAGAGGAAGGAGAACAAACAAGAGAGTAAGAGGCCCTTTGAAGAAAGGGAGGTTGAGATACGGAGAGAAGGGCTGTGAGGACAGCCTCTTCCCACAGACCTAAGCGTAAAGAGAGGGGAATGGACGGCTTGCTGATGAAATGGCTGCCTGAGCTCAGTGGACTCAATACATCCCCTGGAAAATGACAAGTGGACTCTTTGCCTTGTTAGTAGGATGACTGGCAGCACAGAACTTTGGATCTGGAGCCAAAGAAAATGAGAAAAATAGGAGCTAGAGTTTCTCAATCAGATACTGTATCAGGCACTTAAACATAGTAGTCTTATTTTAATCCTCTTAAAGAATTGTTTCCCTTCCATTTCCTACATAAGGAAACTGAAGTTCCAAATTTACTATCATAGGGTTACGAAACTACGAAGTATCAGAGCCTGACTCCAACTCAGCTTGCTCTGCATCTGGAGCCAGCTGTACCAAGCGTCTTCCTCCTAGGGCCCAGAGAGGGTGACTTTCCCACCTCATCCTGGGTGAAGGGATAAGCAGAAAGCAGTCAGCACAGGCTTGGAGTGGCAATAACTCAGACAATTCAGAAAAACTGATTCATACACCCAAAGCCTGAAGGAAGAATTCTATGAACTGGAAAGAGGAAAAATCGAGGAACTCCCCGAAAGAGACAGTTTTAAGCTTGCCATCTGTAGCCAATGAAGTTAATAAGGTGAAACCTCATACTTTAAACTTACATTAACCATATGTATTATGCAGTTATACCCACAGCTCCCTCCCACTCCAGCAAATCTCAGCTGAACATCAGAGTACATTTAAATTACTAGACCACACAACGACTAAATTGAGAAAGCTGATCTCAAATTTACTGTGCATGAAAATCACTCAAGAGTGACAGTTCAAACAGACCCCTAGGCCCCATCTCTAGAGATTTTGATTCAGTAGGTCTGGAGGAGAACCTCGGAATCCACAGTATAACAACCACCCAGGTGACTGATGGAAATTGATCATCTGCTTGAAGCGCTGGCTTTGAAGCAGCTCTCATCTGAAATCTACCTAGGAGAAGTGATCTCAGTAGGAAAATAGGGGTATACGGCAGATATGTAAGTAAAGCTCGTTATTAAAGCTTGATTAGGATAACTCTACACTTTTTTTCATCCGTTTTTCTCTCTCTGCTTAGTCTCCATATCATTGTTCACTCCTTTATCAATTCACTCTTGGACCATTTAACAGACTCTACTACTGGAGTTTCTGAAAATATTCTTTTTGACCACTACCTTATCCAATCTGATATATCCTAAAAGCTAACATTTCCCTATCAATTTCCTTGTGCTATTCTTCTCCACATAAACCTTCAAGTTTTCTTAACAATTAAGGGACAAAGGCCAGCCTCCTAGACATGGCCTTGAAAGTTCTCTGAAATCTAACTCTTCCTTGTCTTCCAGGATAATTCTCCTGCATCCTACATAGACTAAGCTTGTCTCCTCTTCTTTACCAAGTACTCTCTGAGCAGCCATTCTTCCATGTCCAGGTAAGAGGAAGGAAATTCCTCACTTCTCACATTTCTACCTTGAGGTAGGGAAGAGGAGGCGTGAAGACTAGGCAGTGGTGTGCTGGTAGAAGGTTAACAATCAGCTCTCTTTGGAGAAACAAGGTCCTGATTTTTAGCATTTGACAATTTCCATGGTGTAAATCATCCCATTATGGTTTATTTCAAGCTATCAATATGATTGCACTGAACATGGGGTTTGGAAGTGCTGTGCACGGTTGGCTCCCCTGAGCTTATATGTACTAACTGGAGCACACCCCAGGAACTAGGGGTCACTCCCTTCTCATTTCACATGCCACAGTGATGTCTGGCTGTAGGGGAAACTCTACATGTCTTTTTCACAATGAGTGGAGGGGTGACTAGTCTACACGCAAAATTCGTTCTGCCCCAGGGCCTGGCTGGTTTCTGGCCTCATGGCCTTTGTGCTGTGCAGTACTCAGTGTCCTGCTAGCAGCCGCTGAAATCTACTTGGTGATTTATGCAGTCTGCATTCTTGGTACTTTCAAGTCCCTGTCTCCCTTCCCCATCAGCTGATTGCCTCACCTCAGCTCTTGCTGGGGCTACAATCTCTATGTCTCAGCCACGTGGTCCACTTGGCTCTTGGTTCATGCTGGGCCCCCACAATGTCTTCCCTACAACAGGCCTGCAGTTCCCAAGTACTGATAGGTGCAAGCAGGGACTTCCTGACCCCTAATCCCAGGAGCTGAGGGAAACTCGGGGGGCAATATCTATGACCCTCTCTCTGTGTAGTCTCTCCCTTTATTTCTCTTCCACCATATACATGAAGTCATGCTAGTCACAGAGATTGTCTAAGAGAACTAGAAAATTCTCCAGTTTACCAGACAAACTGAGAAGTGGGTACCAATGCTCTGGGGTCCCCTAATCTGTTTGCTTATGTCTAAAACCCCCACCAGCATTCCTCCCCCTGGGGTTTCAACTTAGAGTGGGGAGCAGGATATAACTATTCCCTTCTCTGTCCTTCCTTTGTCTCCCCTGATGTTAATTTTCCTAGCCAAAGGGATCCTGTTTCCATTTCCTTTGGGGAGGTCACTTTTCTCCTATTCTGAGCTCTCCCTACATATGTATAAACAATCAAATATACTATTTATTCTCTCCACAGGTACAATCGAAGGGATATGAGCAGCAAGGAAAACTTGTAATGACGTTAAGCTTTGACTCCAGAACTCACTAGGAAAATGATGGAATCTCCAGTCCCTCAAAGTTTTTAAAATTATTCTCAGGCTGACATGTGCTGTCATCTCAGCTGGACCAAGTTCCCCTGTCTAAGAAGTGCCTGTCCCACTGTGGTGTTTATTTCTGCTGTACAGATGCTGGTCTTTTCTCTTTCATGAGGTTGTCAAGTTTTTAAGATTCAAATTTTTCAGATTTCTGCTTTTCAAATTATGGTTGCAAGGATGTCAGCTTGGAGATTCAAATCTGTCTAATGACCTTCTGTAAGGACCTTCTTCTTCTCCGGCACAAGGAATTTCATGATATTACCTTAATGGTGAGAGAATAGACAGAAAGACAATGAGAAACAAAAATAGCCATCACTTCAATATTTTTGAATATTATGTTAATTCACAATGTTAATTGAATTCTGATTCCAATATACTCTTGCTGTCCTCTCTCCATGGGAGAAATGATATTTTATTAATGGGTGTAGCTACTCCGCCCACAGTCAGGAACCTGACTTTCTGCTGTCTCTTTTATTTCTTGTACCCAAGCATGGTGTGTGTTCTTGTGGTTGCCAAAAGAATCCGTTACTCTCCATTCTGACTAAATGGGAAGTGAGGCCAGGTCTGTACCCAAGACCTGGTTGTCTCTAATTTGAGAGGTAGGAAGCCCACCTTGGCACCAGGATTGAACATATTTAACCCCAAAACTCTTCATTTGGGGGCACAGCATACTTGCTCAAGTGTATTAATTTTTTTCTTATTAGTCTGTTGCTCTGTGCTTATACTCCATGTGTCAGGACTCTGGAAAGGAGGAGGTGGCCGTGACAATTCTTAGCCCTAACATTTCCCACCATGGAAAGTCTTCTTTCTTCATCAATTTGTTCCAACTCTTAACCTCACTCAAGGATCAACTTAAATTCCGATTTATTCATCTCAGCTACACATATTTTAAGTTATTCATCTGTGTGGTTCACTGACTTGATAGCATACTTTTGAAAGTAGTGACTGTTGATGAAAATAATCCATAACTAATCTATAAATGAAAATTGGGGGGCCGGCTCCATGGCCGAGGGGTTAAGTTCATGCGCTCCGCTGCAGTGGCCCAGGGTTCGGATCCCGGGCGCAGACATGGCACCACTCGTCAGGCCACGTTGAGGCAGCGTCCCACATCCCACAACTAGAAGGACGTGCAACTAAGATATACAACTGTGTACAGGGGGAGTGTGGGGAGATAAAGCAGAAAAAAAAAAAAAAAAAGACTGGCAACAGTTGTTAGCCCATGTGCCAATCTTTGAAAAAAAAACAAAGGAAGATTGGCAACAGTTGTTAGCCCAGGTGCCAATCTTAAAAAAAAAAAAGAAAAAAAAAAAAAGAAAATTGCGGTGAGTTTATTCTGAGCCAAATGTGAGGACTATATAGCCCAGGGCCTTCCTTCCCTAAGGAAGGAAGTGCACTAAAGAAGTGGGGTGTACAGAGTGGTTATATGCCCTCAAAAAGCATGTTTCACATATGATTGAAATGTCCCTTTTACATTAGTCACAAGACTGCTCTGTTGGCACGGTGATTGATGGACACAGCAGAGCAGCAGGTCTGTTGTCTCAAGCTGTTGGTCACAGGTGAGCACAGCAATCAGTTCCTAGCCTACAGAAAGATGCTTGTTTTTAAAGGAATACCAGTGTGGAGGAAGTTGCACCTGTATCTTAAGGCCATTTGTTCTCGTCTTTGGGACCCAGGAAATGCTTAAAGCAGATGTACAATGCATGCTCAATGGCCACATCAGGCCCTTTTGGAAAAACAAAGTCAGACTGAATTAGGTTTACACCAAATGGCTTCCTCATATGCTCCAATATATCCTATTACTTGCCATTTTTATTCGTCATGACAACATCTTGCAATTCTTTGTATCTCACTATATGTCGCATAACCTAAACTTCCTTGAAAATATTTTAACTAACCAACTAATAATTGTACTGTATTGGATACTTTTCAAGCTCTCATTGAGATAGTGTGCTAGATACTTTCATGCTTTACATACTAGAATGCTGCATTTCACAGGACGCACAGTTATCTCTAGGCAAGAGATCTGTCTTATAGACAAGAGACAAGAAAGGATCCTGGCTATCTTGCTTTCCAATCCTGTGATTGTGCCCAGAGTCCAAGTTCTGAGACTCAAGGGCTTAAAATAAAACCACAGATGAGTCAGCAGTTACCCTGAGGGCCAGTCTCCCAGAGAGAAAACATTGAACAACTGGGAATGACTCGTTCCTTCAGGGTCTTAAATATTTAGGGGGGTAATCTTCTCACTGGGTATCTTTAAATTATTTAAACTAAATTGGCCTGCCCTGTGGTCTCTTGTCTCCACAGGATTTGAAAGGCTGCCTATTTCCTTCTCACAAGTGGGTAGGTTTATAGCTTAATCAAAATGACAATTACCTAAGGCATTAAGCATGTTATAAACCACATCCTTTACAGGGTCACCAAGGCAGGGAAGAGGGCACGCGTGAGGAAGAAGCTCAGGCTGCTGGTGTAACTGGAAAGCAGTTTCTCTTCTCTGCCTTCTGCACTTTCCTCTGAAGGCTGGGAGGGAGCATGGCTTTGGGGCAATTCGCCCTTCCTGGGGCAAAGTCTGAACTCCATTTCCAGAGTCACTATAGAAGCATGCTGGCGCTTCACATCTACGTGTTTGATGCAGCTGACAGCCAGGAATTCAGACTGCCTTTATCCTCCATGACTCCCAATTATTTCTCTCATGACACACAGGACTTCCTTTATTTTGATGAGAGGAAAAATAGGCGGCTGAGACATGAAGACCTGACTTGAAACGTTTTAGGGGCTGATGTTTGATCTAGGGATTATAGTTTTCAACGTGGAAGCTCCAAAAGTGGAATTGAAACCAATGGGTGGAAGTTGTACTGAGCTTGTTTTCACTCTTGTCTAACCAATCTGCTAGGTCACACCTGTGTGCATAGGTATAATCAGAGAGATATGAGCAGTAAATAGAAATTTAATGACATTAAACTTTGACTCAGAACTCACTAGAAATATGGAACCTCCAGTCCCTCAAAACTGTTATGGTGCTTGGGCTTATATACTCATCTTAGGTGTACCAAACTACTTAGGTTAAGATGTATGTACTTCATTTTGTGCTATTTCTTTTTGCTGCACTGATGCAGCAGAAATAAATTGATGGTACTTTTTTCTCTTTCATGAAGTTATTAGTCACTTGATCTCTAGTCACCGTAGTTACAGAAACCAATTCTCTCGCCTTGGGTGGTTATGGCCGCTTTAATACTTCAACAATTAGATTAATTTTCTATTATTCCTAGACTGTGTACTGCCCCACCCCTATGGTGAGTTGGACATAGTATTTGCACATAAACTTTTGCTGAACAAATTAGGTGAAGTGAAGTGAGGAGAAAACTGGCAGAAGGGAAGTTTTCTCTTGAGTCCTTAAAGCAGGGAGCAATTTATCCCCTAAATGAGATCTCCATTCTCTAGGAGGCCCCCATGGCTAAGCTCGTTAAAAAATAAAGCTATAAACACATCATAAACCAGGTAAAATGGCTCAGTGTGATCTTTGGAAAGGTGCCAAAGTAGGGAATCACAAAGGGAGGCTGGAGACCAAGATGAGAAATCTAGATCCACCTTGCTCTGGGGATATATTTCTCCAAATTACAGTGAGAAAATGCTTAAAGGAAGAGCTGCATAGATAGAAACTTTGTTTTCTTTTAGGAGACATCCTTATTCATTAGTTTTGAAAATAAGAATTGCCCTCTCTGTAAAGACCTATAGAAATGGGATGGGATAAGATGCAAATAAAGTCATGATTGCATTTTATTGAAGGTAAGATGTACCGAATTCTTGTGCTGTGTTGTGAGAAAAGGAACAAGAGCATGAGCATGGAATAAGTACAGTTATAGAACATAGTATAGGGGACATCACTGGGTGCATATGGATGCATGAAGTGGAGTGGGCTTTTTGAACATGAAAACATATAACTAAATACAGTCATATTTTAGCTGTGTGATGAATGGCTTCTGCTATCATATTAGGGGAGATGGATCAGATATTGGTATTGACTGTCGGAGATTCTTGAATAAGATGTTTCTATGGCTTTTTAGAAATAATTTAGAGGAGAGTGATGCAAATGATTGTCTTTGTTTGTTCTAAGCCGTCTGGGGGCTGCCTTAAGAATTTGCACAAAGGATTTGTTTCTATTTTGCCTAACTTGGAATTCACCAGAAAAGCAGTGGACATTGCCCAAAATATTAAAGGCAACTGGAAAACCTGCAGCCACTTGGGACAGTAGATTACAGTTGAGACATACAATAGACAGCCCAAAGCCTGGGAGTCAAATCTGGGGAGAGTGTTTCTTTCAGAAATTAGGGCATTTAAATCCTCCCATATACTTGAGAATTGATAAAGCCACACACATGCCCAAGACTGGATACATGTTCAGAAAAGATCTGAGAAAACATAAGTTGTCATCTTCAGCTGATCTCTTGGCTCAGTGCAAGCAGGAATTTAAGGCTAAGGCAGAGTTATAATCGTCTGCTAAGTAGCGTTGAAGGAGTGCCTCAGGATGAAGACAATCTGCAAAGACTGGGAGATATTTTTTTAAGCTTCTAGTATTCAAGGCAATCTCTTTCAAAATGCTAGCAAAACACAGGCTAAAGGAACAGCTTTTAGCGATCACACATGAAAAAGAATATAGCCTTTGCAAAAGTAGACCAGAAAAGTCACCAGTCAAATGGATGACTGGGCATTTGTGAAAAATCCACAGCTAATGTACTTAGGAACTGAAAAAAATGAAAGCTTTCCACCTAAGATCAGGAACCAGACAAGGAGGTCCACTTTAACCACTGTTATTTAACATAGCACTGGAAATTCTAGCCATAGGAAATTACTTTTGAAGTGTAGGGAAGTTTCAGTGTTGAGAAGGACTTGGTGGGTGCTGCGTACGTTACATTTCTTGACTTGGGTGGTTACACAACTGAGTTTACTCTGTGTTATTCTTCAAGCTGTGCCCTTGTGATTTGTGCATTTTTATATCTATATTATATTTTAATTAGAAAGTTAAAATATATACCATTGAGTAAAAAATTAAAGTGGCCATTGTGAGAGATTGTATTTTGGTTCTTATATAACTGCTTCCCTATCTTTGAATTAAATAATAAATTGTTTTCAGTGGAACATGATAAAAAGTACTAAAATATATATTAAGCTTCAAGTAAATGAACAGTAGATGCTTTTTTCAGCAGCTACTTTTCAATGGAGAACCCTGTGATATGGCATTTCTGATTTCAGTAATAAAAATCTCAGTATATGTGCCTATATAAGCTAGAGAAAAGCTCAGATCTGCTGATTTTGCATTATTAGCTTGGCTTTTTCTTCATTGCTTCATCCCTCTATAATTTTGTGAACATTATGGTGCGGAAATGACT